GGTTGGTCCAGGGGGGGGGGCTAGCAAATATATATTCTAACGATCTATAGTTAATGAAATAAATAAAATGAAAATTTTCTTATCGGTAAGTAAATATGAATTAAGATAGAATTTTTATAATTATAATCTCGAGAAAAATATTTCATATAATTTATTTTATTCAATAAAAAATTAGATATGTAATATATAATATGATTGATAATTATATTAAAAATTCGTGATTTTAAATTGAAGAAAATTAAATTTGATTTATATTTAGATTATTATATAATAATATATTGAAGCGTTATCAAATTAAGTCGAATATAAGCATATTAAATAATATTTTATTCGAAAATTTGATATCATATAAATATGATTATGCTTTATATATTTTGTGCTTCTTCTCCCCTCCCCCCCCCTCCTTTCCCCCAATAATAGATCTTAAATTCAAGGGCTTAGACCAAGGATGGGCGGGTGGGTATATTTATATGCAGATACCTAAGAACCGCGGAAGCGAGTTGTCTCATTCGTAACACAAACTAGGGGCGATGGACAGGGAAAATAAAATAGAGCAGAGGGCATTTAAGACGGCTCCCCCCCTCAATCAGACCAAGAATATATAACACTCTTTTTCAAAGATAGTATATACGAAGCAGAGTCGCACTTCTTCCCAATAAGCAATTTTGGAAGAAAAATGATCTAATATGCATATATCTAGAGGCAGAAGAAAAGGAATCCCAGTCCTATTCTATAGGTGCACATATGCGAATATATTTTCCATTGGAAATAAAAATCATATGATCTTATTATTGCCTTAATAAGATAGTCCACCTAGCGATAGAAGTAAGGGAAATCCAATCCTATTCTATAGGGAGAGGAGGGGGAGTCTCCGATAATTAAGAATAAGAATCATGAATTATAAAATAATATAGAAAAAATTTTGAGAATTTAAAGAAACTATTATAGAATCACGATATTAGAAATACTTATATTATCAATAATATATAGCATATATATAATTTAATATCAATTCAATTATTCGATAAATTTTATTTGGATTTTTTGCCTCCTATATGGCTGAGCGAGTCGCGAAATAGGATCTGAGAGATTGAGGAGTGAATTCATTCAAGGTCGGCATAATTATGCCATCATGCTTCTCATTATCTTGATGAGTTCAATTATATCTCTTTTGTGCTTGTCAGCAAAATGTCGCAGCATGCTTCAGCCATATTTCAGCCAAAGCCAATCAATTACAAATTACAAATTACAAATTAGCTGCAGGATTTCGTAAGGCCAATCAGTCAAGTCTGATGACTGACAGTCTGTGGAATACTAGCGAGCCTGAGCTCTCTGGTATTCTACAGATCTATCCATGTCGCAGTACTCCTCCGCAGGCAGCGTGCCAGCTTTTCAAATCTTTTTTCCCAGTCATAGCAACCAAAGGTCTAGCCCAGGGCGATATTAATATTCTCCTCGTTGTTTTCTGACGTCTTGCAGCGATCGCTATATAAAAGCGCATCAAGTCAGCACCACCATTAGGCGCTCCAAGCCAGCATCGGGCCCATCATTTGCAGAAAGCAGAGAAATATGTCAGTGAAGCTCATTCGCTCCCATTATTTGTAGAAAGCAGAGAAATATGTCAGTGAAGCCCATTCGCTCTGAAATCGGTGCACGAAAAGGGTGTCATCCAGTTATCCAGACATGTCTTCATGCCCACAAGTGACATCCACTCGAACTCCAGCATCGAAAGCCTGTAGTATAAAAAGAGATCAACCATCAGTCCAAGGATGACAGCATAAGGGGTTTGTCAAGCCAGAATTGTGGATTTATTTATCATCTTATATGATATCTGGCCAAATAAAGCCCCAGCCTCAAGCCCAGGTCCAGTTGCAATGTATCCAGGCCTAGAACTCATGGAAGGAGTTAGAGTAGAGTCGCCATCCCAACCCGGATGCCACACTGAGCAAGTCGCGCTCCATTTGTGCGTGCCGTGTACTGTAGCTGAGGTCACAGAAGCCGTGCTAGGTTGTGTCGACAGGTGGAGGTTTACCGAAAGTGTGGAGGTTGTGCCTTGCTGCCCTCAGCTCGACAGAGACGGTGGGTCAGTCAATATCTGCCCTGCCTGGGCCGGGTATTCGGATAAGGTGGTCGTCGTATTCGATTTCCGGGCTCTTGGAGGTAGCGCCTATGCGTCGCTCGTGTGGCACCGAATGACGCTTTATGATTGCGTCGTTGAGGCGACACGCCAGCGGTGCTACGACTGGCAAGTTTTTGCGTTCGGACAGTTAGAGCCTTTGGCCGACAACGCGTCGGTCCATGCTGTCAAAGGGGGAGTTTTGTAGTTCCGAAGGGTTGAAGAGGAACCAATTTGGTTCGGCACTTTGGAATCTCGTTTGATGTCTTGTGTATTTTGGCCAGCTTTCGAGCCTCCTGCAAGTCGGAGGGATGACCTGCCTGTTCTTGTGTTATACCATGACAGACAGTCTTTTTTGCGTTGGGAGGATCATGGAACGGATGTGGCGAGCCTGGTGGGGCGAGTGTATCATTATCAATTCTGGAAAGGGCGGCGCGCAATCTTGTCTGTATGTTGTCAGACCTGGTAAAGTCAATAGTCGGACATAATACAGCCATTGGTACAGATATAGGCGCGGGTTCAGGCTAATTTAGGGACATTCAATCAGATAAGGATCCAAATTTCCTGATCATCATATATGTAGATACAGCCCAGCTAAACTAAAATAGACACAGCCAGCTAAATTAATGCAAAAATATTATGGGACTATGTTTCGGAGTCCGAGAAAGAGATCATTAGTAAAAAAAGAATAAATTAATTATCAAAGTTTTAAGTCAGTAATCCCGAATTTATGGCAGAAGAATATAATAATAAGCATTTTGAATTGCAAGCACACCAACCAAATATTTATATTATTTATTTCGACGAACTTTAAATTAGAATTTTTATATGAAATTTTCAATATCATCATATTAATATAGAATTAATATAACCTCAAGACCATATAATAAATATCATATCAAAAAAATCAGATATATATATATAATAATATTAATGAAATTAAGAAATAGAAAATTAATTCAAAGAATAAAATCAATTATCAAATTCTAATAGAATATAGTACATAAATTCTATTGGTCTTATTTTTTTCTCGTCTTAATAATTACTAAGGATAATTTTTATGAATATAATAAATTTGTTTTGCATATAATTATTATTTTTTTATCTCTTTTATATTGTGAGTATCGTTAATAGGCCTGTGAGTTCAAGATATTAGCTATAAAATTTCCGGCGGCAGAAAGAATATGAGAGTGCAATAATATCAAGTCGGCCCCAAGCAAGGCAAATAATGATGTTAACCGTCCATATGTCCTGTTCTCTCAATCCCACTGCGCGGGTTCTTTTAGCGAAGCCCTCGTCCTTCCACCCAGTCTAGACCCTCAACTTCACAACAACCCTCTAATACGGTGATGAGAAAGATCGCACCGTCCCGGCCCGTCGGTGACATTTGTTTTAGATTTCTTTGCTCAACATCCCTGAGACACGAGATGACACGAGCCAGCGCACAGTCAGTCACCACGACGGGGAGGGCATGTCGGAAAGCCCTGGTGAGATGTCAGGCTGAGCAAGAGGCGCGCTTGTCGCAGCAGCTGCTGCCGCAGCGAAGGAGACGTCAATTCGCATTGTTGCAGGTACAAAGGGCAATGCGTGCGGATTCAGCATGAGGCATTCAATCATGAAGCCACGATCAGATTGTAGCTCCTCGTGCGCATAGCACAGACATTCTGGGTTAAGCTCGAAGGCTGCAAGCACGAACACGCGGCTCCGACGCAGTGCATCGTCCGCATGCTCAAGCGCGCATCCATGCCGCTCGGAAGCTTTCAATACGAAGCTTCGATCTGACCAAAGACGCTTCTCGACATGCACCAGTGGACCTGGGCAGCTCTCGAGGGCCGCGAGAGCGACATCGGCGTCGCCACGGAGCTCCGATGCCGCGAATTCGAGGGCCAAACCCTGCTGCCTCACAGCGGTGAGGACAACGTCACGATCTTGCCTCATTGAATCCGGGGCTCCAATCAAGCAATAGCCGTTCGTTTTCACGGCCTCCAGCACGAAGGTCTTGTCCGTCCGAAGTATGTCGTCAGCAAATCCAAGCACGAAGCCCGTCTTTTGCAGTGCAGCGAGAACGAGCGCCCGGTCGGTGCGCATGTCATAGGGCAAATGCTTCAGCACGGACCCGTGGACTTCCAGGGCTTCCAGAATGAAGGATCGGTCCTTCAGCAGTTCTTCAGACACGTAGCGGATGCATGTGGAGTTGCGCTGAACTGCTGCGAGGATAAAGGCCTTGTCTTTTAGCAGGTTCGGCTCAATCATGTTGAGTATAGAGGGTTGCCAGCGAACTGCCTTGAGTACGAAGTCACGGTCTGTCCAAAACTTCTTTGGGACCCTCTGTATGGATGCCTCATCAGAACGCAGGGCAGCCTGAGCCAGGTCCTTGTCTTGCCAAAACTCCTCTGGCATGCTCCCCAAAACCTTGGGCCCAGCCGCGGCCAAGGCTTGTTGAGCAAAGCGGGTATCTTTCAACAAACTGGGCGACACGAAGCGCAAGGCCTCGCCGTTGCATCGCAAGGCGGTCAAAACGAAGGCGGGTTCCAAGGCGAGCTCTCTATCCACATGGCTCAAGGCTTTCGGGTTCCTTGTGATGGCCCTCAGAAGGAAGGCGGGGTCCTCGAAAAGCTCCTGTGCCACGTAGGGTAGCGCCTCGGGCCTTTTGGCGACGGCCTCTAAGACGAAGGTCGGCTCCGCTCGGATCTCCGAGGCCTGCTCCAAGGCCGCTGGCAGCGTCTTCACCGCGCGTAGCACGAAGCAGGGATCTTCCCAGAGCTCAGCGGAAATGTGCTCCAAGACTCCGCTTTTCCCCGTCTCCACCACCTCCAAAGCAAAGTCGGCATCGCTTTTCAGCTCCTCGGCAGCATACTCGAAGGCCGCACCCTCTTCTTTTATCGCTGCTAGTACAATGTCGGGATCAGCTTGTAAAGACCTTGATGCCCGGGCCAGCGCGAAGCCGTTGACCTGAACTGCTTTCAGCACGAAGTTGCGATCTTCTCGAAGTCGGGCTGCCGCATATTCCAAGGCAAAGCCACTGCGACGTACAGCTTCCAATACCATCTCCGGATTTGCCCTCAGCTCCTCTGTGGCATGTTCCAGAGCCACGCCATCTCTGCGCAATACTTCTCGTACTATCTCGGAATCTCCACGGACTATCTCTGGCATACGTGCCAGCCATTTTCGACTGAGGGTCTGCGTCCCTCCACGCACAAGCCGCAGAAGCTCCGCATGTGCGGCTGATCGTCGAACCAAGGTTAAGTCAAGGTCGCGTGTGCAGCCGGGATCTTGCAAGAGGTCATGATCCTGCAGCTCGACACAGCCCAGGATGAGCCTTCCAGGGTGGTAACAAGGCAAAGCAGACATGATCATGCAGCCAGACAGATCACGACTTTGTTTTGCGGAGCGTGCCTTTGCTCATCCGCAGGGACCTTTGCATTCTGGATGAGACCCACTAGTCTAGCACATGATGATACACTGATGCACCGAACAAGCAGTATCCAAACTAGTGTAACGCTAACTTGCAATCCCGTCTTTATTATTAGAGGAGATTTGATTAGAAGGCATGACTATGAAAGCACATGCCGCATGTCTGAGGGGCGGACACGAAGGCTGACCTGCAGGCAACCGAAAGGCGATTGTTCCAAAAAGCTTGCAAAGTGCTTTCCTGAGGATTGTGGTGCCATCCTTGAAATTAACCTGTTTCGCAGGGCAGGACCAGCAGAAAAATATTCACAGCCATCACAGCCCCCGCTGGGCGTCGCTGTACAATAGTCCTGGCCTCAACATTTGGCTCTTGAGTCGTCCGAAACCGCAACCCTTGCAATACGACCGCAAGTTCAGGCTCTGGTCTCATTTATGCTCTTGAAACATCCACTTGGCACCTCCTGTGGTTGTGAGAATCTTGCTGCTGCTGCTGCTCTGCTGCGTTGCTGTTGCTGTTGCTGTTCCAGCTGCTGTGGTCCGGTTTGGCTGTGCCCGCTGCTGAATGAGACTGTCGATGTCATTGATCGCCTAGCCTTGCTAGATCCCACAAAAGCTTTTCTGATGCTCACGTTATCTTGATGATGATGGCTCATATTGCGAGTGGCAGCGGGCTCTGTCTCCGTTGCTATCTCGTTTCAATAGGCTTTCGGGATCTCTCGTTCCAGTGTCCTGTCCTGCTTACACAACTAGAAGCCCTACTCTTTCCTTCACCTCGATTGAAAGTCGACGCTCGGCTTGAGGTCCCGATACTGCAACTGGTGGCACAAGCCTCCAGTGCTCGCTTGACGTCAGCAGCACGCCACTCGCTGTCTCCGCGCAAACAGCAAAGCTGCCCGGCGAGGCTGTTAACACGGACCTCCATGAGGGCCTGGCATTCGGAAAGATGTTGGTTAGACTAAGTCTCACTGCATGTTTGTTCAACGTCCATCAGCAGATAATGTGGAGTCTGTCTTGCCTAAGAACTATGCTGCTGAGTACTGAGAGAAAGGCAAGTTGGGGGTCGAAGTAACTAGGTGTCCCATGTGCTGCGAGCAATGAAGCTGCCGTCTCCGCAAGGCATGAAAAAAAAAGTGCCCATGACTGGCACTCACAGAAACAAGCTGCTGCATGGACCCCCCTTTTTGCACTCCAACTTCTGGTTTGTGCAGGCAACTTTGATATTCGGTTCTATGCCGGACCAGGCGCAGCAGCACCTGTGTCACCGCCTGAATCACCGGCGGCAGGAGCAGCATCTTCTGCCGGCTTCTTCTCGCCTTTGTCTTTGTCTGGGATCGTGGCACCAATTGCCTCATTGAATTTCTTGATGTTCTCTTCATCCTTTTCCTCGCTGGGCTCTTGCATCCAAAAGAACATTTTCTTGTCCGAGGAAGTGAAGCGAAGGATGTATGCCCGGCCCGTCGTGCACTTCTGGACTTTCTCCATGTAGGCATCATTGATGACGATGAGATCTGTAACTACCTCGTTCTTGTTCCGATCCATCCACTGGAAATGCGTCAATTGGTCTTCTTCGGAGGTGTACAGCAGAATCTTGCCCTTTCGCTTGTCTGCTGTCACCATTCGACCATCCCAATCCATGCGCCCTGCCCTGAACTCTGCGTGGACATGACCGGCTGGCCTAGTGGGCACCTGAAACATCGCCATTTCCTCAGAGAACGCTGCGGCAACGCATAACGTGTAATCTACCAGGAGGGCTGGCCGCCACACAAACGGCAGTTGACCCATCCCCACCGAAAACGAACATTTGATAGCCCCTAGTGAAGTGCTATGATGGGAACCAATTAGCTGGGTTTTCTCTATAAGTTGGGCTACCATAACACCTAGCTGGGGGCTATCATCGCACTTGGTGCAGGGAGCTAAGTGGTATGATGGCCCCAAGTTAAGTGTTATAATAGGGCCTGGAACAGGTTTCCCTAGTAGGCAAACCTACTATCTGGGTGCTATCATGTTATGATAGGCACTGTGTAAGTGTTGTGCTGATAGGACTCAAGTGTTATGGTGGCAGGCGGCAGGAATTAAGCATTATAATGATAGGAACTAGCTGTTATGATCGCGGCAGGATTTATGTTCTGTTGTTATGACGGAAGGTATTAGTGGTATAACTGCAAGGTTTAAGTGCTATGAAGACAGGAACTAAATATTCTGATGGCAAGAGCTCAGTGTTGTAATGGCAGGATGTAACTGTTATGATGGCAAACATTAACTTAGTGTTATGATAGGAAGGACTTAAATGATATGATTGGGAGATATGGCAGGAGTGAAGTGTTATGATAGGCACGATTTAAGGGTTATGATGGCAAGAAGTCAGTGTTATAATTGCAGATTTAAGTTTTAAGTGTTATGATACACAAGTATCAATAGTTATTATGGCAGCACAAAAATGTTATAGTTGCAGAACTTAAGTATCATGCGTTAAGCATTGGGGTGCCATCCGACGCAATGGTTGCAAAGAGAGCATGCCAACTGCTGTTAACTGCAGCCCCTACGAAATAATGACATCCTGCAGCCAAGCGACAACAGAGACTGGCTCCGGCGGCGCACTACCGACTTTCTGAGCCCCGCGTCTCTGATCTCCGGCAAGCTCAAGCTCCCACGTCAGGCGCACTTGGAGCATTTGCATGCTTAACAGCCCTGGCCTTCACTTCATGCTGCAAAAACGATCAACAAAGCTTCTTTTGCTGTGCGATTTTGCAACTGAATCTCGCTCAGAAAGAAATGCAGCAGCGCAGGGCCTTGTCGCTGCAAGTTGAAAGTGAAGGGCAGGAGCCGGGTAAGGGTCGGACCTAGAATCGGGAGCCTGGCAGCATGCCCATATCGGCGCCTTCATGGTATTCGCATGGCATCCAGTGCCTCGGCATGATGGCCCCGTTCCCCATACGCCTTCAGTCTTGTCCGGCGTGGAAGCTACGGAGGGAGGTTGGTGATGTCTCATCGACATGTTGTGCAGTTTCGGCCTGCTTATCTGGCACGACAAAAGGAGGCAAGAGGCCATTTGAGTCGCTGCGGGAAGGGGCTTCACGAGCGATTGCTTGTTCTTAATGCCAACTTCACTCCGAACGTCTCCGAACCATGGGGATCGATTGCACGACCAAATGCCTGCTAGCGGCGCAGAACTAGCTCTAGCCAACCGCATGTGCAAACCATCAACATGTTCTATGAGATACCCTGCCAAGCTCAAGCGATGCCTCCAGGTGCTCCTCCACCTCAGGGACAGCCAAGTGCACCCGAATTCCGGACACCCATCTTCACCAGGGCTTGATCAGCACCCGACAGAGAGCAGCGCGTTGGCTGCCGCACAGCCACCTGACTTACTTTGCACTGCGCTGTGAGGGTTCATGGGAATATGCTCAGGAGGCTGCTGGCCACCGCAGCCTGGGGTGTCAGAATGATGCTGAAACAGCCAGTGCGTGGATCAGAACTTCATGCTGGTCAAACTTAGTGTGAATTCTATGCGCCGTAGTAGCATCTCTTCCAGAACATTCAGGTCTCATGCAACGTGGGAATTGCTTGAAAGCTGTGCTGGGTGCCAGCCATGTCAAGTTGAATGGTGTTACCGCGACATCACAGCAACCAAAGCGGGAGGCCTTTCGCGACTGGATTCTCGACTTGCACTACGAATCCATTGGGTGAATAAGGCAGCATATGCCAGCGTTCTGAGTCAGATCTCCCTGCAAAGAGCAAATGTCGGAGCGACGGTTTCAGACTTCAGTCAATTTGGGTGAGATATGTCACTGTAGACCTCTGTCCTGGCCGGCTCCTGTAGTAGCTGAGACTATGCTGGGGGCCGGGCTGGAACTCCAATGCCTGGAAATGTGCTATCTCCACCTGAAGACAGGAGCAGTCACCACTTCTGCAAGGCAAAACACGAAGCCACGGCCCTGCTCGGTCGCTGGTGCACTCAGGCCACCACAGCACAGCAGACCATCAACTGGAGTGGACCTTGAGTTGAATTAGTTACCTGTCCTATGCATAAGATGGTTGCAGAATTCCTTGTGGATGAAGTCACCTTCGACTCCTCAACTCGAAGCTGAGGCAAGGACGGGCCCGGGAGCATTCCAGCCTCAGGGCTCGTAAGTAGCCAAAGTAACCAAAGCCTGTTCCTAGGGCTGGCTGAGATCCTGGCGCTCGAAGGCATGAAAGGTCCGTAGGTGCCTCTGTGCCTCTCGACAGGGGCACAAGCAACAAGGTTTCAAAGAGAGGGGAGCATCGCCTGCGGTTGAACCTAGCATGGGTCAGCGGCGATCCGATCAGTTCCAGCTCCTGGCACCCGACCCATATGGCTGGGCTCTGCGACGCTTTTGGCAGACATGACATGGCAGACGCAGCAGAATGCAGTCAAGGTGCGATGCTCTCACAGGCTCCGGGCCTTAGGAGTCTCATGCACAACGAAACATAAGACGCCTCTCCGCCAAGCGGTGAAGGTAAGAAACAACACCCGAAGATGTGCTGTTGCAAGCCTTCCTTCTGATGGCTTGCTGTGTGGAACATTCAAACTTGATGTTCCACCCAAGGGCTTACCGGTGACTTGCACAAAACGAAATTGCTCCACTCTGGCACCCGCTGAGCTTAAAGTACGTGTGGATTGGGGCCCCGACAGAGCCCTCTCGACGGCTTCGAAAAGCGGCTTGGCCCTCTCACGCTTGAAGGCTTCGTACCTCGGCTTTTTTTGATGTCTCTGCGCGCGTCTGCTAAGTTTCGGAGCATTGGATCTGATGCATCTCAGAGGCCAACTCTGAAGTGCCTCGCTGCATGCCTTGCCAAAGCCTGACTTGATATGGCGTGGCCAGCACTCGAACTCTACCCACGCGCTGTTCTGACGCTGCACGTCCTAAAGCCCGTGACTCGTAGGGTTCGGTTGCGGCAAGGTAAGCATGAAGACCTCGGCGTGCAGATCCCGGCAATCTTGCAGACAGGGAAATAAGGTTGTGCAGAAGCTAGCCAGTCTAGCCGTCTGAATCTGCCTTTGGTATCATGACCTCAGCTCTGACCGCCCTTGGCTTTATGATAGACGGCAGGCTGCATGCTGCCTTCTGCCTTGAGTCTACCGCGAACTCGCATGAAATGAAAACGGCTGTCCATGCATGGGCTATGGCTAAACCATTCTGCGCCGCAACTCGCTGGGCGTATCGAGCACCAATTCGAGATCGCCAGATACGCTCTCTGATCTGGGTTCATGATGTGCTAAGTTCAATCCTTAAACTTAAACTTCTGCCAAAACAATCGACTTGCAAGGTGAGGCTGTTGGCTGTGCTGCGATGTCCGCACATGTCCAGATTCCTTGTTTTATCTGCCGTGGTATGGCGAAGCGATGCAAGCCATGTACGGATGGGGCTTGCTTGCTGCAAGCAGGGTCCTCTGAGAAATGTATGCAGGCCGGGCCTACTTTGTCGTGCCGAGCCTGACGCTGACATGCTCTTCTATGGATAGACGGAACTACCAAATACCTACATATCCACAACACGATTTACACGACTACAAATCCCGTCACCTGACCAAATTTCCGAGGCCCCTAGCCCCATTAATGCATTGCACACCGGCAATGCTTATCAACACGCTGTCATCACTGCAGGGCACTTAGACCACAGTGCGTCGAGGGCCCCGCAATGTCTTCCTGCCGGAGCCAAAGAGGGATTCACAACCTCAGCACTCAGCAAGAGCGAATGCCCAGGCAGCACTCCATGCGTGAACAGACCGCAGATCGCCGTGCTCCTTCGCTTGCTCAAGCATTCTGTTGTGGACTGTGCTGGAAGTGCATGCATGAAGTGTTCACGAGGCACAGGGCGGGCAAAGGCACTGTTCCTCATCATAACTTCGCCGAGGCGGTTTGAGGCGCGCTTCGAGAAAATGCTTGCAACAAACAAGGATCCCGACACTTGGCACACTGATGATGACCACATTGCCAGTTGCGTCTATCGGCTCCTGTTCGAAGGACAGGGCGAATACAAAGCCGTGGCTACAAGCCTTTGGGCGAATTGCCCGAACCGAAAACTCTCACATCTGCCGCTGCGGCTGTGTCCTTCCAGTCCCGGATGACGCTGTAATGCAGGGGCATATCACCGGGCAGCCCCTCGGCAAGTCATCGACGATCTAACTTTCTGATTCCAAACAAGAACGACGTAAAGCTTCTCATGTAGGCCTCGGCTTTCAATCCCAGGTGCAAGTGCATGAAGGACCCGCACCTTGCGAAGCCGGTCAACAAATCAACTAATGTGACCGGCATGGGCTGGCCATGGGCTGGCCCACCGCATAGCTGAGATTGGGCACTCTGCAGGCTTTGGCATCGGCCAGCCCATGCCTTCCTGTGCAGTTTGCGTTCGTCGTTTTCACTTCTTGACTCTCAGGCTTTGACCAGAGCACGGGTGCCCGGGAGCCCAGCTGGCAGCATCTTGACCGTGTCCCAAACACTTGCGTTGCTGATGACCGCCTGCGTTGCTGGCATGGCTAAGCTCGGGAAACCGACCACCTCCCATCTCCTCCCAGCCGCCTCTCTCGCCGAGATTTGCCTGAGCTGATTTGCTGCGCCAACTGCCAGTCCAGTTTCTGGAATGCACATCTTCGGTTTCCGCATGTCGAGCACGGAAAACGCCGAAAAGTCACTTTCTGATCGGGTCATCTGTCTATGAGCAGGCATGGTCAGTCTTCAAGTGCTGCAGCTTCAGGCCGAGATGTTGCAAGCTTTGTGAGTTTAGGCTTCTGAAACCAATCCTGACGGTGGAACATGGTAATTTTGCCTCCCGTCCTGTTTTGGTACCCGGATTTCTGCTTTGCCACAATATTGCTGCCCTGCGTTTAGCCGCATGTGCTCGAGTTCATGGCTTCCTAGACACTTGCTCAGTACTTGCACCTGTCATGGCTCTGACAGTGGCTTCCTGCTGGGACTGGCTGTATAATTAGCTGTTCCAAGATTCATGTAGCTGATATTCAGCTAGTGCTGAGTGCTGCTGCTACTGACAGCAACAAAGAATGTTCCCTGTCTGTGTGGGAATGGGCCTTCTCCTGGGCACAATGGGGCGTGAGGGGCGCCTCCCCAACCTGCCCAGATCGACCCTCTTCTTTGCGAGCGGCTCACCACTTCGCAGCTTGATGCCGGTCACCTGCAGCAATCAAAACCGGTCGCAGATGCGTTCCCGCAAACAGGCCAAACCGACCCATGCAAGTGAAAACAATCCTGAAGAAGGAAAACCTGCTCATAGCCTTGCCCTGCGATGCCACTATCTCTTTCACATGGGCGTTGTAGCCTGCACTTCGCTGCAGCCCACATCCGGACGTCAAAGTGGCATCAATGCTTCTCCAGTCCGGGCTCCCGGCGTATCCGCCCTTCATGTTTGACCACGCCGCGCTCTAATGCACCGATGAGCGCCTCTCGCAGTTCGCATGTTGGGCCGACGGTTCCAAAGGTGTCGTGTAACTGGAGAATAGCGAAGAACTTGATGCCGAGCTTCCGGCCCCCATGCCACCTTTCGGATAGTCCAGGAAGGCCCCAGGCCTCCAGCACGCACGCATGCATCGCAGTGCACCAAGATCTGCGTGTTTGCTGTCCACATTCCTGAGACGAGAGCTCATACATGTCCGAGATCATGTATGCCACAGGGGCACTGGGATGCGTGTCGGCTGGCAAAGCCTGATGCAAGGCCAGAACAGCCTGTTGTTTGATCTGCACCCCGAGAAGAAGAGCGCGGATCAAACGAACTGCTTGGTTCAAGTCTGCCGATGAAGCCAGAGCTCTGGAAGATATTGCTCAAAGACGGACTGCTTCTTTAGGTACATCGTCTTCCGCGGTTTTATATCTCGAGCTACTGGTTTCTCCCCAGATAGTTGGTCTTGGACGGAGAAGATGGTCCGAACGGTCTATCTCTGCAGCCATCATGAGAAAGAGAAACGGAGTAGGCGAGGGAGCTAGTTCGGCTGAGCCTTCGGACAACAAGCAGCCTCGTGGTGTTGCTGCTGCTGCTGCTGCTAGTTAGTTCAATCAACGGGAAATAGAAGTCATCACACGTGCTCGCTTACGATTCTGCTGAGTGCCTGCAGCACGAAGCAGATGTAGTCCATCCATCTCTTCAAGAAGCCGTCTTGAACACCTGCCGGTGCGGCAAGCATTGGTGCAGTGGGCTTTCCTTGCACAATGGATGCCTGCATCGCGGAGCAGGTCAGCAAAGGGAGCCTGCACTTTTGGGTTCTGGCTGCATGACAATGATGCATGACATGAAGGACCACTCTTAATGTACGGCATCGTCTCGTTTCGAAGTGATCGAGGGCATCGGATCGCGCATGCAATTGCACGCGCATTCACATTCAGACCACAAATACGCTTGTAGCTTGGCTCGACCGCTGGGAGTAGTTATCTGACCCCAACACCACAATCAGGCATTAGTCGCTTCGTACCAGAGCAAACTTGTATGAATCCGAATGCACTGCTTGCAACCTGGCCAGTACAGCATTGCCTGAAACTTCGGGCCATTCAGAAGTAAAGCAGGTAGCCGAGGCAAGAAACGCCGAAGCCTAGCACACCGGGGAGCAAAGTCAGAACTGGAAGGCGAAACACAGCGCGCTCGAGGACAAGACGTTCGCACCTTTGCAAGTCATAGGGGCTGGATTTCAAACCGAAGTCGAAAGTTCTGCGAAAATCTACACCGAGATGAAAAGATGGAGGCCCCGGCAGCCCCCAAATCACCGCGCAAAGCTGCTGCGGGAATACTCTTCGAGATCTCGCCCAAAGGCTTGGCGATTGTCATCAGGTCCCGCCATTCCTGGCGGCAAGTCCACATACAAGTACGCAGGATGCCTTGAATGCCAATTCTCGTTTTCAATCGCATCTTTAATCGTTGAATTCTCTACACCTTGGACAGCCTAGGTCCCAGGCCTTAGGTAAGCCTTAGGCAGCACACAGCCGTCGCCCCCGGCCACCTTTTCGCAAGGCATCGGCTCGAAAACTCGACCTTCAACTTTGGCCGGCCGAGCAGTTTACCTCCCGTCATGTCATAAGCGGCCATTTCGGAGCTCGCAGGGCCAATGATCGCAACTGCTTTTGGAAGTAGCTGAGCAGTGAAAGGGTCAACCTACTCCCAAGTTGATCTGTCTCACACGGATGCGTCAGATTGGTGCCACGAAACCTTTAGTGGAGAGTGTATCCAGGGTTCTGTGTTGAGCAAGCGGCGAAGGTTCTTGCAGCGACGCGTGAAGCCGACGACGGCACTGCCAGTTGCGGAGCGTCGGGCTTGGTATTCGAAGCGCTGCGCTTCGCCTCGGCTAGCAAAGCCCTCAGCCAAGAATACCAGTCGCCAGGGTCGCCCACTTCGTGTTGAAGCTGCGCCACCACTGAGTTGGCCATTGTGCTGCGCCAGCCGCCGCTCCGGGTCCTTGGCAATGCCTGTGTACGTCTTAGACTTGGTGGAAAGGAGGAGGTAGAAGCAGTAGACCAGGCTGGGCGTGCGAGACCAGATCACGACTGCAAGAGCTATCAGCAAGAGCAGCCGCTGCTTCCAGCACGGCATGTGGCTCAGGACGGTAAGCTGGCAAACCTATAAAGGCACGACATGCTCTACACGGCAACGTGACGGTGAAGGTTGAGCCTTGCCGCAAAATCGTCGGATGCAGTTAGCAAGTGCAAATCCACACATTCTGACTTGACTCATGGGGTGTGCCTCACTCAAACCATTGTGGTGGGGTCTGAGGCAGCCCTGCCGGTAAAGCTTGTTGAGACAATCAGAAAGCGTAATATAGGGGCCTTAATAATTACCTCTACCATTGTTAGGGTTCCTTATTGTAATTATCGTATAATACACCCCAAAACCCTATTCTAACTATTAATACTAGCGATACAGCATCATGAAATCAGCTGGGGGCACCTGAACGGCATTCTTTGTGCCAAAGCGGGCCACAACCTCCTCCCAGTGAGCCTCGTTTCCTTGCGACAGGTGACCAGCCTAGACTCGCCCAAACCTCTGTGGGATCAGCGCCGCACCAACTTTGAACTCGAAGTCGCCATCAGGCCTCGGTTTTTTTTCCCACCCGCCCAGCGTTTAGGGTTTAGGGTTTAGGGTTTAGTTTCAGCTGCACAGAGCACCGGAAGGGGAGACGAAAGCATCTCACTGTTGAGAGATAGCACAAGTCGGGAAGCTGGGCTGCAGGCGTCACCATGCGCCAGCCGGGGTAGGTCACCCACTCGCAGTCCTGCGCTCTGCTATACTGTAGATCCTTTATATGGGAAGTTGTCAAAATTATGGTCCCTTTTGGGGTACCCTAAATGATAGGTGCCGTATTATCCTAAGGACCCAAGAAGGGACCATAGTTTGGACAACCACCCATAGAGGATTCGCTTGAACGACAGGATGGCCAGGCCGCTCAGGGTTTACTTACATCCACCTAAACCCTAAACCCTAAACCCTAAACCCTAAACCCTAAACCCTAAAACCCTAAACCATGTGCCTGGCTCCATGCCGCAAAGATCTCATGACAAGAACCTTATGCTTTACGGAAGAAAAAGGCTTTGGTGTCAGTGCTGCCGTACGGTCCACTGCTTCTCAATTCTGAATTTGAGACCTCCCACCACGCGCGACAAGCGTTCTCGAAAACATGCAGACCAGCTCTAAGCCCCATGGTTTTTTGGCAGGCGCATGTTGCGTGGGTCGCTGCAAGGTGAAACTCTCTCGTCAAATTTACGACGAACCACGGCAGCCGACAAATGTTGCACATCCTTTGGTACAAGGAGGGCACCGAAGCCTGGGGCAAGTCCACGCTTTTTTTCACGTCTTCAAGGAAGCCTCCAGTTGCAGGATTCGGGCTTGAAGCCGATGGGTCCTCAACCGCTCCTCTTCCGTTTCAACTTCCAGGATTTCAACCGTCTTGTCCTTTTCTGCAAGCTCGTCCTCCAAGTCGCCTAGGTAAGCATCTGCTTGTGCCATTTCTGCTTCCAGCTGCTTGGCATTTGCAATGGACTCCCGAAGCTCATCTGTCAAACCATTCACAGGCCTGGGTGGCCTTGGGGCAGGCGATTTGCTTGGGGGCACCACAACTCCTGCCGGAATCCCAGCAGCTCGCCGTCGCACCTCCAGCAATGCGATTTCTTTTGCCAAGGCCTGGGTGTCGATTTCCGCCTGCGAAGCTTCTTCACGTGCTGTGTCGGCATCTGCTTGAGCAGTGCGCACGCGCTGCCGCATCTCCTCAAGCGTGACTCTCATTGCCTCCACCTGTTGGTCCACGAGCCGATACGAAGCCTTGAAGTCCAGAAGGTCTTTGCGCTGCTGCATCAGCTCATAGTCCAAGTTCGTCGCCGACTGCTCACGCATGCGGCGCTCGTCTCCGAACTCCTGCTCCAAGCGCTGGATTCGCTCATGGCGTCTCTGCAAGACTTGCATTTGCCACGAGCTGGTCTCTGCTTCGTGCATGCGCTTCATGTGCAGCAACTGCTGCTCGGTCGACTGCCTCACGTGATCGGCTTCTCGTCTCAGGGACCCAGCAAGTTCATCAAGCCTTTGCTGGAAGTCCCTTTCCACCGCTTGCAGCTCCACCGCGCGGTCTTGCCGGAGCACCTGCTCGCTTTGCTCTGTCTTACTTGCACGTCTCCCTCGCTCATTTCCCTCCCATTCCCCTTTTTGTTGAAGCAGCGCTCTACAGCTATGTCTGCACCTCCTGCCAGAGACCCTACAATGGCCCTACCATCTAGAAGTTCATCGGCGAGTTTCCGAAAATTTGAGCACCTGTTTTGGTGTCGCTGATAATAAAGATCTTAATATTTGGGGTACTATGACCCCCATGTAGGCTTTGATTGGACATGGACTTGTTTCGACGTGACAACAACCAGACTGGCCAAATTCTCCAGGCTCCGGCCCATATCATGATCGCTCGAAGAAAACCGATCGCGAGCATGATTCGTCCCAAACGGGCCGCCAACAGAAAATCAGAGGTTGAAAGTGACAGATGACTGGCAAGTTGAATATTCAGGCTCGGAAAAATACTGACACTGCGGCTAAAGCCGTTACACTAGCGATCGGAGCACGGCATCCTTCGTCCTTTCGGTTCGCGCGCGCGCAAGCGACCGGGCGTACTCTTCTCTCTGAGCGTCCATCTCGCTGTCTTTCTCGCTCGCTGTGGCTGGCTTCGGGTGACTATTGACTCCTCGCTGCCTCGTTGCGCTGCTCCATCTCTGCCGCCCGGCGTCTCAAGGTCGCCCTGTAAGCATCTAAACTTTGGCGAACCCGCTGTGAGATGTCCCGAACCTGCTGGATCGAAACACAGAGATCTGAGTCGGCCCTGGCAGTAACACACGCCTGGTTGCCACAAGCCATGGTCTTCAAGGCTCGTATTTCTGCTGCCAGTTCGGCCCTCTGTTGACCGAAGAGGCTCTCCAAGCGGGCTGAGCTGTCTTGTAAGCAGGTCTTGCTCGCCAGCTCTTCCAGCTTTGAAGCTTCGGCATGCATGGCCCGAGCAGCATCTTCATGCAGCTTATCAATCTTCACTTCGACCTCCTCGCTGAGCCTTCTGTGCTCCAGCTCCTGCTCGTCTGACTTTGAGTTCAAGTGATTCACCACCCTCGTCAGCTGTGCAACTTTGTGCAGCAAGGAGCGTTTGAGGTCGCCCTTGGTGGACCCTGCCTCTGGGCTCTTGGGACTCTTGGGACTCTTTGGTTCATCCAAACGCTCGAATGTGTCCGGGAGGTCGGACGTGCCGTTTTCAGCGTGCAAATCGCCCATCGCCACCCTGCTGTGGTGATGGCATGTCTCGGTGCCCAGGTTTCAATCACCGCCGGGCGCCGTGTGGACTAGGAGTTTAATCAGCAATTCGAGAGCAACAGCTGCTCAATCACGTTAGCTGTCTTTTGTCAGTTTGTGCAGTACGGCAGAATCCTGTGCTGCTGCATGTAGGCTTCGTGTGTGTTGCCAGTCAGAGGACTACACTGATCCTGAAACTGTCTTTGAGCGCGGAGCTGCGTCGGAACGACCAGGCGCGACAAACTTCGGTGAAACCAAATCCAACATCGAGCGCGGTCTACTTGGAAGTTCATGGGTAGTTATGTAAGGTTATAAAGGTTATAAGTAAGGTAACTATACTTATAATCCTACTTAGGGGACTTATAACCCGACTTATAACTGTTCATGAATCTCATCAGATCTAGGCGCTCTTGTTTTCGGCTTGCACTTTCACAGCGAGCTGTCAATGGAAGGGTCGGTCGATAAATGCGCTCCCCTCTGCTATGGGCATTACGGTCGTGGTGTACCTGCCGGCATGTGGTACCCCTGATGGAAAACGGGCAAGCTCATCTGCTGATGCCGGCTGCACGCCAATGCTTACAGGGAACGTACCCTTTGGATGTTGGATGGCAAAAGTGAAGACATCAGAGCCGTCATCTGCTGCCGGACGGCGACCCAGTGCCCTTTCTGCAACACTGCCCTCAACTAGGCAGGCTGCCCCCAGTGCCTGTGCTGCTGTCATCGCAACTGTTGGGTGCATCTCGCATCTTCCAGGGTTTACAAAATAGCGGCAAGACATCCCAGACTGCGTTGACTCTCCTAGACCCACTCCTGGAGATTCGGCTGAACCTACAATAGCCAACTTTGGTGCATCGTGGCCAGAACAGTCACCCATTCCCATCAAGAGGCCAGCCTGCAGACGGAGGTCTTCCAGATCTGAGCATAGCTCCACGTCATGTTCGACTCGTGCTATGGTAAGCTCTTCCAGCTTGCTGTACCCGAACTTGGGAAGTACCTCCTCGGCAGGCACCACCACTAAGGCCCGCGCGAAGTCAATGAGGGTGGCTGTAACCGAGCCTAAGCGTTTCCCAACCACAAAGACATCTTGGGCATTCCCGGAGGGAAGAAGCCTCCCAGTCTGCGAGCCTGCAACATCCAAAGAAGCAAGTCGCAATGGAGCGGCCGGTCCTGGAATTCCAGGAACCTCACAATCCCCGGTGTACTGAACAAAAGTCTGACCGCGGTCACCTGTCATGGACACCTGTGCTTCGTAAACAGCACCAGTGTTGACACTATGGATTTTGACCTTCCGCGATGCAGGATGACATGCCGACGGTTCCAGGTTCAATATGCCCCGTTCGAGAGCAAACGGTGCCACTGCTGCAAGCATGTTGCCTTGGCTGTGGCAGGCTCTCCCATATGTCACCGCACTGACAACTTCTGTCAGGCCAAGTGGCCACAATCTCCGTGGGAGTGATCAACTTCAGCAGACGCTATGCCACACTGCGCAAAGCAGCACGCCACAGAGTTGGGCTCCGAGTGCGGACCCACAATGGCCACCTTGCTTGTAGGACCGCACCCACCACCAAAACCTCCGACTTGCTGCGGATGTCCACTACCCATGAGCCGGCATAAGACCTCGTCCCGCAGTCTGCCACGTGGCGGTACATCGCTCTCCAAAAGAAAAAGGCCTCTCGAAGTGCCACTGCGATATAGCACAAAAGGGATCTTTCGAAGACCACAAAAGCTCGCCATACTTGGATTTGGGTGGGCTATGGGAGCACTGAACACAGCAGCCACATCGCAAAAGTTCACAGGGCAAGACTGCGAGTATCTGCTGAGACGACTCGTGCAGTGCCAGGAGGTGAGTCTAAGTACAGGAAAGCACACTAAAGGAATTACCGCGACACAAGCCCACGGGCTTGCTGAACAGTCAACTTGCTCAAGAAGTGTCCCCTCGACTGTCTCGGTGGTTCGGCAAGTCAAAGCCTGCACAAAGAATTTCACATGGGATCGCCCATTTGCAACTTTGGTCGTGTTGGGGTGAAACACCACGTTCGGGTGAGACGGTTGTCGCACCTTGTCTGCGAGGGGGTTTGCAAACAGTTCAGTGCTGGAGTTCTCGACGCTGATGCTATGAGGCATAGTCAGTGGATGCGCCAGATTGCCGTACTGCGGGGTGAAACTTTGGATGTATCTGGCATGCACTCATGCAACTAAGACCCCGTCCGGGATGCCAGCGACTCATTCCTACAAAATCCTCATGCTATTCTAGAGCTTGTGCGATGACATTGCCATCCGAGAGGATCGCAAGCGCGGCTCTTTCGTACAATCTATCTACAGACCCTTGCTTATCAGCTTATTCCGAAAGAACGAAAGCCGTGCTGTTCACAGCTGTCACTCTCTCGTTCAGCTGGCATTTTCCGGCGGCTCAGCTTCTGGCGGTTCCTCAGCAGCCGCTGGCGTTTTCTCGGACTCCAGCTC